CATTGACGAATCCTTCTCAGGAAAGGTATACCATCCCTCAGCCTCGAACTTTCGTGAACAATAGTGGTTGCTCTCACAAACAGCAAACCACTACAAGTATTAGAAAACCATCTCACCCTCACTGGGATAGACTAACCTCTAACACTCTACAGTAGTGCTCAAATGTAATTCAAGTCCATCACAACAACCATACAAGAGATGCAACAACAAACATTTTCTCCAATCACAAGGAAATTTAAAATTCTCAAATTTTACAATTTGTAATACAAGAGAACAATTTAAGAAAATAAGCAAGAGATCATCACAACATCATTATATTACTCAATACAAAGCACTAGGGTTTCGAAATCAAGAACAAAGGAAGAATCAAGAGGAAGATCCATCTCTCTTGAAAACTAGGGTTTTACATCAAGAAAAAGAGATTTCATGGGTATTTAACCCTAACTATGTTTAAAACATGATAATAATTGCAAGAAGACCAATGAATGATGATTTCATAACATATGTATAAGATTTAAAGTCAAAGAATACATATATACAAGCCCTAATCTCAATGAACAAGAATGGAAGAAAAAACCCTACCTTGATATTCTTGAAAAATTAGGGCTTTGATCCAATCCAATGTGCAAATTCTCTTTGATCTTGTGATCTCTGTGTTTTTCTCTCTCTTTCTTCCTCTCTAAGGTTTTCTAGGGTTAGAAATGTTGAAATGGGGTTAAAGGAGGTGTCCTTAAGTATTTATAGTGGAAGGAATGGCGGCTGTTCATGACTTAAAAACTTTTGGAATTTACAAAGTGTACCGGTACGCGTACCGGTACGTTGAGGCTTCTGGAGTTCGACGTACCGGTACGCTTTGTCGAAAATCCCCAGATTCTGCATGTTTCCTCTACTTTTCATTTCTAATCCATTTCAAACCCTTCTAACTCCAACCCAAACTTTTATAACATACTTTTGTACATCAAACCTAGTTGGTACAAGTTCTGTTACAACGATTTTATATATTTACAAGCTAAAACTAAGTTTAAACTACTATTTACTTGAATTTTACCATATTAACATTTCAAAATAAATAATTACTTTCTATATATACCTATATACATATATAAAGATAAAAGTGTGGGGTTTACACTTTTAATTATTTCATTTCCACAGTTTTAATTAAGTTTGTTTTAATTGTTTAAGTTTGTTTTAATTGTTCTAAGCTCACACCATAAGTTATTTCTACTACATTTTGTATCTATAACAACTTCATTGTTTCTATTTTGATTTCCAATATTAGCTCCCTGTGGGTTCAACCTCGAACTTAAACCGAGTATTATATTAAATTTTGACCACTTATTCTTGGGAATACGACCATATTCAGAACAAATCGATTCATGTTGCATATGAACATAGAAAGTGGGAGTTTGTAGTTCAAATACTCATGGGGAGTAAAATTTGTAAACTTGTCATGAAGTCAAATATTTTTTTCTTTTTTATTTTACACTTGTTATTTTACTTGTGAACACCAACTAAGGGGCAGAACTAGATATGTTTTGCATTGATAAATCAATTGGTTCTCAAGCATGTGAGGCAATTTAGTTCAAATGTATTACATATTTGCACTTGCATGATGCATGCATAATTATGCCTTATGCTTTTATTGGTGCTTTCCAAACCTATGATTATGCAATTTATTTCTCTTAACATATGATTCGTTTCACAAGGTTTTGGTTTAAGTGGTGATGTGCAGGACTATGATCTTTAAGCTTCATTCAAAGATATAGATCCTTATACTACATAGAGATTTAGGAGAGTGTTGATATTAGATTTATAATTTGTTTGTTCAATGATTTGGGGTTGTAATCTTTATTTCAAACTTGTGTGTTTTGTCACGAAATTCCCAAAAGGGGAGATTGTTAGATCATGTTTTGTTAATTGGCTAATTTCATGGAGCCCATTGTAAAATGTCAATTATTTCCATGATCATGATGCTATCAAGTTCAAGATCCAAAATTGACATTGAAAGGAGGAGATCAAGTGTCAAAGCTACATCATTCATCCTCAGAATGTACCTTCATGCATAGGACAAAGGTAATGACCTACACATCTAAGATAAAATGGAATTGGAAGCGATTCGATGACTACTCCTAGATATTTTCAAAGAAAATTTTTTCTAAACCAATTTTGAGTTTTGAAAACACAATTTCAGTCACAATTAGACTCCTCTTTGAGAAACACCATTTAGTACTCAAGAGGACACGTTTTTGCATGGTTTTAGGCTTAAAAAACCTATAGAGACCGTTTTATGCTCGCTAGCCTTTGCTATAGCGGTCTCTTGATGACTTGGAATAAAAAGGAAAAAGAAAACAAGGGATTAGCACAGGTCTTGCTCTATGATCTTGCTCGAACAGTCTCTATGGTCGCTCGAGCAGTCCTTATTCTTGGCTGGTTTGAGACTTTTTTCACTTCAATGTTGACCGCCCTATGACTGTCCTCCCACCAATCGAGTGGTAATTTGTGAATCTAAGTTTTCTTATTTACTAAGACTAACATTATTTTGGACCTACAAATAAGGAAAGCCTTTCCCACATCTAGGTCCAGTCGCGAGATTGTATTTTGAAGAGAAAAATCTATCTTTCAACCTTGAGAGCTTCCACCACAACCTAGATCTTTAAGATTCAAAAGCTACCACTAGTGATTCATTCTATCCTCACAATCTAGAATAGAAGAGCATGCTGGTGAACAAACTCATTAGTGTGTGAATATTGAAGATTGTTGGCAGGGTTATAATCTCTCGAGGCCTAGACAAATTGTGCGGCAGGGAGGACCAAGTGAAGCTACACTAGACATCAAAGAGGGAGTTGTGGTGGAGAGACATAGCAAGGAAAGAAGAATCTAAACATAGATATTGATTGAGGTATAAGATTCGAGTACTTGTATGTTATCTTGGCTTACAGTAGATTAGGCTTTGATGAACCCTGAGTGGTTTCCCGCAATTTTTCCCGAGAAGGATTTTCGCGTCAACAAATTGCTTGTGTCTCTTATTGATTATTGTACATACTTGCATTTGTTAGCACACACGCGCATTATGTGTTTGTGAAAATTGATTGTTTGAATATTCATTCAGACATAATTCTGCATTAGGTTTGAGGATTTGGGATCGACGAGAGATTGGTTATGAGTGAATTAATTGAATAATTAATTTAATCAATTGTCATGTGTGGGAAGGGTTGTGGTAATTAAAGGGGTTCTCACATTCATTGCTACATACTTGTGAGAAGAGGTAATTGTGGTAGATATAGGTTTTAATTGGTTATTTAATTTGCACTAAAATTGAAAAACTTATTCACCCCCCTCTAGTTAAGTGTCTTGGTCTCCACATGTATAATCGTGAGGGAAGATTCATATCGGGCTCTCCCTCTAAGAACAAAACATATGTCTCTATTCGAATGGAGATTTTCATTTGAATAGAGATTTGTGTTCAAACGGGCCTTACTCCTAGTATAATCCTTTCTATTTGCTGAAATCCTCAAGCCTGAGTTACTTTTGAATGGAAAAGTGCGTTCGAATGGACCTCTAGATTTTGTAACCTATCTCTCTTTTCCTAGCATATTTTGACCTAGTTAGATGCTAATTTACGAAATTTTCATATATTTTTGTAGTCCTTAAAGTCTAGTTTCTAATGCCACAAGAATCATCTCAATCGAATATCAAAGTAGAAAGTTATAGCTAAAATACTAAGATAATGTCTAATTCCTTGCTACCCAAATTCTCTCAAAAGTGAGTCTAAGCTCCAGAATATTTTGAAATCTCTAATACACCCCATATCACCTATCCTTAATTCATTTTATATAAATGCAATATATGATAGTCTATCATAGCTTCAAATAAATACATGGGGTTTACACATCTATATTACTATTTGCTTTCACAAGTAGAAACACCTCACCCAAATATGATTCCATGACTCTTTATAGGCTATGGGTTCAAGGCATGCCGTTGGAACACCTTGTTTATCACTCTGAAAAATGTACACTTGTTGACCTTGGATACCTCCATTATCCAAAACAAGATTTTCATGGATCTCCATTATATTCTCCTTCGTGTCAGTAACTGCGACATCTTAGACATCGACCTTGATATTATTAACATCTTTGACTATGATAATTTTTCTATAAATACTTATCATATATGGGGGAAATTTTGAGTATTGATCAAAATATCATCCTCCAAATATTCATCAAATATTAGAGCTCAATTCCTATCAACTTGTGGTTGTTGAGAAAATCAACTGTTATCTAAAAATACCTTTTTGAACTTCATGTCAAAAACATAAACCCTTTCCAAAGGTTGTCTTCTTGGCGGTATATTGACAATAATGGAATTGAACTCTCATACCAACTGATGCTGGGAAGCATGTAAACACACGGGTATTATGAACAAGAAAGGGGTTAAGAAATAGAATGAAACTCTCTTCGTTGTTTTCATTGAATATTAAAGAGGGACTTTAGACTAGTGAAAAGTTGGTTGTGATGGCCCAGCCCTAGGCCCAGGCCACTTAAGTGGCGGCTTAGAACTCCCAGTTTTTGCATATTTTTTGGGGCTCCAAATTAACATTAAATCTATAAACACAATTATTATTGGGTTGAATGCCAAAATCCGTTGTTACCTATGACTTTCACAAACTACCCCAATTAAAATATTAGGCCTACTAATGTCCACTTTGTATTTTCAAAATGGTCTCACATTAAAACGTTTTCCAAACCCTCTAGTTTGATGTTCTATCTCCATTACGTCACTCTCAAATGTCAAGCACGTTTCTCCCTCTCTCTCTCTCTCTCTCTCTCTCTCACACACACACACTCAAAAGTCCAACTCTCTAAAGCTTTTGTCTGATTTGCAAATAGCAATCTATTGATCAAAAAGTCTAATTTATAATGTTTAAAACTATTTTCGATTATTGGCAACAAAAATTTATTTACCTATTATCTTTCATACTTATCGGAAGATTAAACTTTAAGGAATTTTAGGATGTTATCAATCTAGAATTTTGAATTTATTGATTTCATATTTTTAATATTAAGGAATTTTAAGTGCATGTAGCATTACTAGTGGCAGAAATACAATATTTCCTCAGATGCACACACTATTCTTAAGGACAAACAATAACATGCTCAAAAAAATCAAAGAAAATGAGTTGGAGGTTCTACTGGAAAATTAGTAAACAACTTGTGGTTCAAACTCTGCATAATCAACAGAACCAGATTCAATGGGTTTCATTAGATATGCAGCCAAAAGCTCAGAAGCCAGTGCTGCAATAAGTGGGATCCTCTTGATGTTCTTCACCAAGGGAATGTCCAGACTTTCCCCAACTGCCAGAAGCTTCTGGTTTATCTCCACCATCCTGTCCAACTTCGTCTTGAACTCTGGGTTTTCGACATCCAGCACAGCTGGGAAAATCCTAGCGGTTGTGCGGTTTGTCTGCAGCATAGCAGAATATCAGAAACTCAACTTCAACCATCACTATTTATTGGATGATATACATGATTTCAAAAACCAAAATTGTCTTTGATATGCAGGTGTGCTCAACTTCTGAAGAGAGACAAATGGTCTTTTTACATTTTCTCTTTAGTAAGAAGATTAGCAGTATAATAACCTAGCAAGGAATTAGGAAATGAAAGAGATTGCTTCTCTTTTACAGTTTGGTTGCCAAAGAAGGCGCTGCCACCCTCTCGGCAATCAAATTGATCATTAGGTAAAATGCTTTTTCGAGAAGAAAGGAAAGGAAAATTTTTCCAAAACTCAGCTGGAGTCCATGGTAGCAATGTTATATATCAATGGCTTGGGTAGTGCATATTTTATAAAGGCAATTGATTGCCTAATACACCATAGTATAAAGCAAGAGGTTGGACATGGAGCAGTGGCAAGTGCTCATCAGCTCAAGCAATATGTCACAAGTTTGATTCTGTGAATAAACCTCTCCAAATTGGGGTATAAAGCTATCTCTCAGTTCCTTATCCTAGATTTCGCTATGGGCTGGAGGAGCCTTGTGTAATGGTATGACTTTTTGACAAATCTGTGAAGCAAACATGATATGAGAACACAGGCTCACCTCGATGATGACATGCATGTCAAATTCTTTTGTGTTGAGCCCAATGCCTTCATAGAAAGCTGTTCGTTGGCAATCGTTGAGATACATTGTCACATAAACCTGCATGATATATTTGCTAAGATGCGAGAAGGAGATAAAAATTCCAGGCATGTTAAAAGCTCTGTATCTTCCTCAAGCAGTCCTGATGAGATTGGTCCTTAAGGAATCGAGGATATTAAAATAAGAATCTACTTATCCTCTTTATAAACTTGCACATGAAAATGTTTTGAGTAAAACTTTAAAGTTCAAATAAGGGAATTGGAATTGATAAAAATTGAGATGATATTTTCGAATAACTGATTTCTCAGCAACCAAACAGATATCATTGGCAATACTAACTATAAGAAAATGAATTCCAAAATTGCAAGAAATGTAATATTACCGATAGGCAGAAGAAACGTGCCCACAACTTTGCCTTCCAGTCATTCAGGAACTGGGGTTGTGCCTTCATCAATGCAGAGAAGAAATCACCATGGCGGTTCTCATCCTGGCACCAGTTCTCAAAGTATTTGAAAATTGGATAACATTGGTACTCAGGATTGGCCTTGAGATGTCGGTATATGGTTATGTATCTCCAATATCCGATTTTCTCAGACAAGTATGTTGCATAGAAAATGAACTTTGGCTTGAAAAAAGTGTACTTTCTAGCTTTAGTCAAGAACCCCAAGTCCAATGCCAAATTGAAATCAGATAAACCCTTGTTCAAAAATCTGCGAATGAATCAGTTGAACAATTTGCCCTTATGTCTTAGTAGGCTGAACTGCAACATAGTTGTGTATGTGTGTGTTTCTAGGTGTATGTGCAAAAATAAAACAGAGTCAGAGTCAGAGAGGAATGAAAATAAGGGTAATTTGTAAGCATACCCAGCATGCCGGGCTTCATCCCTAGACATGAGCGAGAAAATCTCAGCAACCACAGGATTAGTTTTCTGCAAAACCGATTCAAAAATGCTTTGGGTGAACATGAAAATAGAAGATTAACATCACTTGTAACAAACTACTTATTTTCAACGTTGAATTGTGAATCAAAACTCATTACAATCAATTAAAAACCACTATTCATAATTGTAATTTTAGCTAATTAAACCAATATTAGTAACTAGGCCTGATCAAAAGGCAGAAAATTAGTGGAGTCTCTTCTTAGAGTAGGCAATAATTCAACCCCCCACTGCTAGATGGACTATCTAGTATAGTGGATGGATGTGGGCGAAAGATGATGGTGTTTCATATGCTCTTCCTAAACTTGGCTGCTTTTGCATGGCTTAGGGGGACTTCCAAAAAGTTCATAAGAACCAATTTTTCAATCTTGTACATTGAAAAATTAAGGAAAACAACCCGGACCATACCCTTCTTTTCTTTTTTCTTTTTTGCTGGGGTTTGGACCAAATGATATAGGGGTGTTAATCTGACACAAAATTCAGCATTTCAAACATATTCCTCATTACGAAATGATGTTTTGCAAAAACAATCTTGACATTAAGAGACATTTGCCAAATTTAGACTAGTTTACAAATAGCAGTAAACATTTAGACTGCCAAACTGGCCACTAAATAAAGAACTATGGACCAACCACTGAGTTTGCCTTTAGATTCAAGTAGCAGTAAAGACACAATTTTATGGACAAAATTAGCTAGTTAAACAATTTCTTTTATGAAAAAATCATGTACAAAGAAGTAGATAAATAAAGTGAAATCTACAATGGTTAGACCAATTTTAGAACACAGGATTGGGTTCAAAATGTCAAAATTCAGCCGCATACTCAGCAATTCGAACAACAATGAAGAATATACAGACAACATACACTAAAAATAATAAATCAAAATACTAGTGTGTATCGGTAGTTCGAGAAGTCAGTGACTATGCATACCTTGAGCCTTCTACCAAGCTCCTTGTAAAGAAGGAATCCAGAAAACTCAGCGGTGCAAGACCTCTCCAAGAACTCAACGAAGATTTGCCGGAGAGGGCCCTGAAGTTTATCAGCAGCCTCCTTGAACTCCTTGCTTCTGACAAAATGGGTCTGGTTATAATCAGTCTTGAACTCCTGCAAAAGTGCCTCAAACTCAGCCTGTTTCAGGTTCTTGTTGATCTGGGTATTGAACAACCTCTCCATCTCATCAAAATCTGTGGTGTAGAACCTTGGTGCCAAAAGGGTCTCCTTGATTGCTTGCTTGGCAGCTTTCTTTGGTGGCCTTGCGGTGGTGGGCGGCTGAGGAGTGGTAGCTGACATTCTGATAGTGAAGAACTTGGTGGTTGGTGCTCTTGGGTTGCTGAGTTTTGGGGTGGTTGAGCCAAATTTGGAAATGGGTTTAACTAAGGCCATTTCTGCAGTAGAGTTTCAGCAGAAAGTTTGGTTTTTTTTTTTTGGAGGGTGGTGAGGAGGGGGCTAAGGAGTGGCGAAAGATGATTTGTGTGGATATATAACGTGTGTGGGAGTGATGGAATCCAACCTGATCCAATGAAATCTGGTAGTTTATATCGAATTTGACACGTGGCAGATGATTATGGGCCAGCTTGATATCATGATTGGCCGTTATTTTTTTGATTCAATGCCAGTAATGTGTGGTTTTCTTTTGTTTATGGTAGATCTTATTTACAATTTTGGTAGATATTTTTTTGGGTAATTATCATTGAGATTCCTTCACATAAACATAACTTCAATGAACCCTCTTTTATTATTTGAAACATTAATTAAAATATATTTTATTAAATTATTCATGACATATATTAGAAAAAACTTCATTCACATCCCTTGTAGATATGCGTATCTTCAATAAGACATCTTTTTTTAAAAAAAAAATTTACGTACTAAAAATTAAACCGATTAAAATTTGATTCTAGCTAATTAAAACTTACATTTTACGTATTAAATTTGAGTTAATTAAAAATTATATTTTTTTACATATTAAAATTTTAACCGATTAAAATTTGTTTTTAATCGGCTCGAATAGAATTTTAATCAACTCAAATTGAATTTTAATTTTCCAAATTTTGATACATAAAAAAATATAAATTTTCATCGACTCAAATTCTAATCTGCTTGAACCAAATTTTAATTTGACAAAATTTTAATACAGAAAAAAATATAAATTTGAATCAAATTGATTCAAATTTTAATCGGTGCTATTACTTTAAGTTGAGCTCGAATCGGCTCTAATTTTAGTACGTAAAAAAAAAAAATTAATCAGCTCGAGTCAAATTTTAATCAACTCAAATTTTAATATGTAAAAAAATAAATTTAATTAACTCGAATTTTAATATGTAGAAAAAAAAATTTAATCGATTCAAACTCTTATCAAATTTTATGTTAAAAGATTTTTTGGGGTTTATGTAAGGACAATTTATATATATATGAATTGTATAGATATCTTTCTTAGGGCGAGTTGGGCGGACAACTCAACAGTCTATTTTGTAGATGCAAGTAATTCTCAAAGGACAAGATTGTTTGTTGTCCAAAAAAATTTAAACTTATCAAAAAATGTATCTTCAAGATGCTTATTCTAGAGAAGTCTCTAAGCAGAATTTCTTAAAACTATCCTATTTGTACGTCTTGGGAAGTAATTTTTAATTTCATCATACTTTTCAAAATTAACCTTAATTTTTTAATTAAATATTTGTTTTAACCCTGCTTTATGGGTAATTTATATATCTCAGTTTATGAGATAAAAAAAATATATATATATCCTACTAGAACACTAGTTGTAGGTAGACATGACTAGCTAGTTGAAGATAGACATGACTAGTTATAGATAGACATTGGTTCAGATGACTTTTTATTTTGAAAAGTTACGTCGAACGCAACTTTAATATTTATAAATTTAGCTTAAAAGATATTTTAATAAAATGCAAGAAAATAATTTTCTAAGATCACCGCATGATTACTTGATGTCACTAAGTTTTCTATTTCCTACTGTGACTCCCAGTAATGCGAATTTAAACTTTGACTTAAGAATTGAACAATTTCAATGCAAATCAAAGTGTAAATTATCATAATCATGAACATATAAAAAACAAACAAGACAAAATAGTTTTACCTTTTTCTTGTTCAATGTTTTTGAATTTTTTAAGATAAATACATAAAAGAAAAATATGCATAAAGATGCAATCAAAACAAAGAAGTGAAAAAAATAAAACAGTTAACATAAATCCAAAAAATGAATGTCAAAGTTGACATCAAAATTCTTTTTGGATTTTTCTTTTTCTCTTGTTTTTGGTTTTTAAAATTTCACATGTTTTTGAATTTTCATATTTAAAAACAAATGACAAAATAAAAACGACAAGAAAAAATATATACAATGAACACTTGGTCCTTCATGCATGATGTCTCAATAATGCTCCTAGGACTAAGTACATCCAGCATTCACTCAAGTGCACAAAGACATCTATGGGTTTCCTAAGACTCTCAAATCTAGGGGCATCCAAGGGTTTTGTAAGAAGATCAGTCAATTGATCTTGAATTTGAACATACTCCAATGATATCACCTTTTTCTCAACAGGCTCACGAATGAAGTGGTAATGCATATCAATAAGCTTTGTCCTAGAATGTTGAATGGGATTCTTAGAAATGTTTATGAAATTTGAATTGTCACAATACACAGTCAATGTATCATAAGAGATCTCATAATCAAACAACATTTGTTTTAACCAAAGCAACTGTGTGTAACAACTCCCTACTACATATTGTAATGCCCCAAAATCTATCCTAGAAGGTATTACTAACGAAAAATCATCCAATCATGAGAGCAACCATAATAATCATTAAATAATAAATCATTCATTCATCTAACAAAAAATAAATACTAAAGTCAATAAAAATATTGTAAGTTCTCTAACTTACAATTCAAAAGGAAACAATATCTAGCAGCATAATAATCAAAACTAGCTAAAACAATGTTTAATAAAAAATTTCAAATACTAAACAAAAAATAAAACAACTCTATTCCTCTAAGACAGAGTCCAAATCTTGATTCTCCAACAGTTCATATTCAACCTACTCATCCACATTGACATCCGCTTCTATGCTCAAATATGTAAGTGTGTGGTTTTAGGGGTGAGCAAAAGCCCGCAATAAATCTCTCTCAAATCCAAATATGGTTTTTAAAACAACATAAAGAAGACAAGTCTCTTTTGAAAAATAGCATATATACATTTTTGAGAGTAAAATCATGACAGTTGAAATAATCTCAAGTGTACGAAATACAGTAAATTAATGATAGGAATAACCGTGGAAGAAATTAATGCAATCAATAAATAACTCAATAACATCATCTCATATTCTTATGTATGTTGGTTACTTTTCAAGAATCTACACAACGATAATATCTTGTTCGTACACCACAACTATACAATCTCAATCGTTTCCCATAGGGCCAAATCTGTAACACCCCAAAACACACCCTGGACAATATTACATTCTAAAACCATTCATATCATGAGAGCACTAATATAATCCCTTAAGAAACAAGACTTCATTTGTTATCCACAAATATTTACAACATTATCCAAAAGAATAAGCCCAAGTCAAGGCTATTATATCTCAAAAATTAATTAAAGAAATGCAGCGGAATAAACAAAAGAAGCTAGACTACACAATATTCCAAAAGAATGTCCTAGTCTAGTACAAAAGGAAAGACAGTCGTTCTATGCGTCCACCCTGGGATCCACACTCCCATCCAGTGGAGTCTCCCAAGTAGCGGGCTCCTCGACCCTTACGTCCACCTCTTCAAGCGGGTAATCTGAAAAATGTTAGCGATAGGGGGTGAGCATGAAGCTCTGTAGAAAAATTCTCCCAAACCCATACAAGGTTTAAAAAAGCATTTAAAATGGTCGGTCTCAATTTTAACATAACATAGATACATAATTTGAAATAAATCAATGACATTTAAAAAAGATCTCAAGTTTATTTAAAAACATTACTTAAATGAATAAACGAGCACCACATACAAATAATAATCATTAATTGTCATAACCAATTCTCAACAATTCTTTCGGTAGTTGGCATACTTTGTGATAACTTCCACCCCCATTTAGGTCACCTTTGATTCTCAAGCATCCTTACCAGGAACCTCTTGAGAATGGATGAGCATCCTTACATGGAACCTCTCACCAATCACTACCTTGTTTCCAAGCATCCTTACCGGGAACCTCTTAGGAAGGGGTGAACATCCTTACAAGGAACCTCTCACTCATGTGCATCACAAACAACCCAACCAAGCATACAATTCCAACATTTATCTCAATTTACAAGCATCTGTCCAAAATTCCCAAAATATATCATGTAACAATTTCACAACCAACTAAGAAAATACATGAGATCACAATAACATCATTTTTCTACCCAACACAAAGCACTAATGTTTCGAAATCCATAATAAAGAAAGCATTTAGGAAGGAAATACATCACTCTCTAAAAATTAGGGTTTTAAAACTAGAAATGAGATTTCATGGGTATTAAACCCTACTTTGTTCAAAACATGTAATCCTTGCAAAAAGCCTAAGAGAGAATAATTTCATACCATATATATATACCATTGATAGCCAAAAACGTACATATATAAATACCCTAACCTCAATGTAAGTGAATGAGAGAAAACATTTACTTTGAATCCTTAGTTTGTAGGAAGAACTTGAGCTTTGATCTTGAATCTACCCTTAAATCTCTTGTTTTTCCCTTTCTTTCTTCCTTTATTCCTCTCTAATGCTCTCTAAGGTTCCAAGATGTGTGGGGTGAGAGTGGAGTGAAAGAAATGAGGGAAATGGGGAAAATGGGGTTTAAAACACATCAGCCCCGAAATTCACTGTTCATAGCCTATTTTGGTTTTCTCCAAAATTACAATTTTGCCACTAAAAATCTCCAATTTGATCCATATGACTACCCTAAGGTTTTTCGACGTTCCGAATTCATTTTTAATATTATTTTAACCTAAAAACATTTATGTTTATGATTTATCTCAAAACCAAAGTCAACGTATACCCGAAACACTAAAGTTTCTATTTTACCTATTCGAACCGGCTATTAATGAAGTTTTGCGTTGTTTGCAAATAAAAGATGATAAAGGGTGCTTCTTAAAGCCTTTTATACTTATTTGAAGCCTAAAATCATTATTCTTATATTTTGATTTAGGATGCAACTGGAGACGTTAAATGCAAAATGAAACTAATTGGACTGTTTTGACATCGCTTCGTTATCTGGGCATAACTCTCTCATCCGAGCTCCGATTGAGATGATTAAAGATGCTATGGAATGATAAGAAAGATATCTAAAACTTTCGTATTTTGAGTTTTGAGAGAGATTGACTGCATCAAGGTCTAAATCGGGCTTGAAGTTGTAGCCAGTGCACTGTTCAAGCTAATTGGGCTGTTTTAACATCACTTCGTTATCTGGGCATAAATCTCTCATACGAGCTCCGATGGAGATGATT